AGGAGGCGTTCTATGGTAGATTTCTATCTATGAATGGTAAAGATGTTCAAGATGGTATTGAAACAAGATGGTATTGAAAATGGCTTTGCTACTACTATAGACAGTGTCAAACCACTTAAATCCTTTATGAGAAGTCATAGACATAGACATCAGGGCTGGAAGGGACCTTGGAAGATCATCGAGTCCAGCCCCCCGCCCAAAGGGCAGGAAGTCAGCTGGGGTCATAGGATCCCAGCAAGATAAGCATCCAGTTTCATCTTGAAGGTGTTCAATGTGGGCGCTTGAACCACCTCCGGTGGCAGGCTGTTCCAGACCTTGGGGGCTCGGACAGTAAAGAAATTCTTCCTTATGTCCAGCCTGAAACGATCTTGAAGTAGTTTGTGACCATTCGACCTCGTCATCCCTTGGGGCGCTCTGGTGAACAAACGTTCCCCCAGATGCTGGTGGTCACCCCTGATAAACTTGTAGGTGGCCATCAGATCACCCCTGAGCCTGCGCTTTTTCAGGCTAAAGAGCCCCAGGGCTCTCAGCCTGTCATCGTAGGGTCTGTTTCCCTGACCTCTGATCATGCGCGTGGCTCTTCTCTGGACTCTCTCAAGCTTCTCCACATCCTTTTTGAATTGTGGAGCCCAAAACTGGACACAGTACTCCAGCTGCGGCCTCATTAAGGCCGAATACAGGGGGGAGAATGACGTCCCGGGATTTGCTTGAGAAGCATCTATGGATGCAAGCCAGTGTTTTGGTCGCTTTACTAGCCGCCGCATCGCATTGCAGGCTCATGTTCATCTTGTGGTCAATGATGACCCCCAAGTCTCTTTCTTCCATAGTGCTAGCCAACATAGCACTGCCGAGCCTGTAAGGATGCTGCGGGTTTTTTTTCCCCAAGGTGGAGAACCTTGCATTTATCGGCGTTGAACACCATCAGATTCTCGTCCGCCCACTTGCTGAGCCTGTCCAGGTCAGCCTGGATAACCTGCCTGTCTTCTGGTGTGGGTGCTTTGCCCCAAAGTTTGGTGTCATCGGCGAACTTGGCCAGTCCGCTTCTGACTCCAGTGTCCACATCATTAATGAAGATGTTGAACAGTATGGGTCCAAGGACAGAGCCTTGGGGTACCCCAAGTCATGCTTGACTCTAAAGCCAGGGGGCTACTCTAAGGGCATATTTCTGTTATAAGTGTTAGGAATCAGTAGTCCACTGGACTGAGTAAGGAGATCAGCTATTGCACAGAAGCTATTTCTTTGTACTCGTCTATGAGATCTAAAGAAAGACTGTGCCAGAGAAAACCTTGCCAGCACCGATCTGACAGATGCTGAAAGTTACCACCTGGGGCTTAGCTACAGTTCTGAGCCCTCTGACCTTCTTCCGCTCTTCAGAGTGCTTTAGAACCAAGTAAGTGCTGATGTTTTTGCCATGTAGATCCAATGGATGCGATGAAGGAGATGACCTATATTGAAATACTTGGCCTGAGGAAGACCCATTGTCCTCAGAACAAAATCAGATGCTTTGAGGTCCACTTGGATCCACTGATATCAACAACTGTGATTCTGTACTACTTTCTTTTTCTCTTAAATCATGTGACTTCTCAGAAGAAACCAGTACTATAAACGAGGGTGAATGTCATACTCTAAAATGCTGCTTTACCAAACAGGCCTGCCAGTTTGAAGAGGTCTCAACATGGCTCAGAAATAGACTTCCCCTCAATGCAAATTGCTACAATTGAACTAAAGCTTTTTAATTTATAGTATAAATATTGAACTATTGGTGGATTCACTACAACCAGATGCAAAACTGACACAAGAAGGAAAAGGTTTGTTCCACCACCACTCCAGCAGGCTGATAATAAGAAATTAATGGACCATTAAAACCAGAATAGCATTTATACCCTGGATCTACACAATGTAGGGCTTGAGGGAAATGTATGTGTACCCTAACTACCAATTGCTGATCAAAAAGGTTCTTTGACCGCCCACAGTACAGTTTTGCAGAAGCAGTATTTTTGGAGAGGAGGAGTTATTGGTGGTACATAACCCCATTTTCCAAGCTTCCTTTACAAAAGAGTAACTCTATTGTTAAGACGAAGATAAACAAAGCAAATAATTTGAAGCAGTCATTCAATTTGTCTCCCTTTTAATGTTCCTGCATTTGTTATTCATTTGTGGTTTGAACAGTAGAATGTATTGTAGCTGGTATGTCTGGGATTAAAACAACAAAAACAAAAATAAAAGTGGAAAACTTGGCACTAAAGAATCATCCAAGGCAACCAATTGTTTGGTTATGGAATATGTACAAGACACAACATTTGAGAGACAGGTGTTTATGTTAAATTGTTTAACAAACAAACAAACTGCATTTAAAAGTGGCTCTCCAAAGTGGCTAGAGCATATTTCTGTCATGCGGACAAAATATTTGGGGTGGTGGGGAAGGGAAAAATATTACTTTATCAACTATGTTTCATTTTAATACAGCGTGTGTGTGTGTGTGGGGGGGGGGGAGGGTAACTATTTTGGTAGATGTGCCACAATTTAGTCCTACACCCGCTCTGAGTGACACTCCCTTGCCTGATCTGCTACCCTTTCTGCCCCATTCTCCCTGCCTGATTTGCTGCTCTGCTTTCTTCTCCTTGCTCTATCTACTGCTATGTCCCATCCCTGGTCTGCTGCATGCCACACACAGAGGCTGCCTATGCCACTTGTGGCATAAATGCCAATTTGGGCACTTCTGTGTTAACATGCGTTTGCCCTATCTATACTCCACAGATGATTGCAGAACTGATAGGTTTATATCAGAGAAACCATACAGCGAAAATGTAATTGAAAGGGAAAACACTGAAAGCTAAGCAGTTAAACATGTCGATGGAATGTATGGCTCCAAACAGCATAATAAAGAAATACCTGTAAAAGAGACTAAGTTTTGGTGACAAAGGTGGATCCAATTCTCTTGCATTGAAATCACTAAGAAGAGAACATAGTTAGAAAACTGAAATTTGATATATAAAACAATTACTGAGCCATATGCCATCACATTTCCTTTCAGTTTCAGGAACACGTTTATAAAACTCTTCTACAGTACAGTATTCACTAAATACTATTACAAATGTATATGACATTAGATTTTATCATGGCCTATTGTTTAACAAATTAAACAATAGGCCATGATAACACTATCTTTCTTCCCATGCCTGAAGCTAGGTATGCTGTGCATAACATGCAAAAGAATGATATTATTCTTAAGTTCCTCTTTGGGCCTGTTAATGTTAGACTGCTCAGTGGGGGAGAGCAGCAACTTTCTTAGTAACTGTTCATTTCAGGTGAAGAAACTGTATACCGGAAAGATAAACACATTGAGTTTGGCACACCATAATTAACTCAAATCTGGAACCCAGCAGTGACTATGCAATGATTTGCCAACACATGCTCTCTCACACACCCATGTGTACACTCTCTCAGTGTCTACGCCCATTCGGATCAAAAACCAAACAAACCTCCAAAGAGTAATGTCGCTTCTATTTAAAACGTTTTGTGGAAGAAGGCAGGACACTGTTTAGTCCATATTTCTAAACATAATTTGAAAAAAAAAAAAGGCAAGCTAGTTATTAAATCCAAATTTACTGGTTTGGTGAACGCGTTTTGGGAGACTATGAAGAAGGGTGATACAGTGTTTAACAGAAAACAAGGTAAGCAGGTCAACAATGGATTAGTACTAAGAAGTATATTTCTAGATCACTGATTATGACCAGCTGCTCAGGGGCAAAACCCAACAATGACAATGAATAAAAATAAATAAATAAATAAATCAGTCCTTTGGGGGTTACAGAAATCCCAAAATAATAAAACATACTTATTGCTTTTGGAGAAGTGAAATAAAGGCGTTTCATAGCAGTAAAAGGTGTACGTACTGCAAACCTCTGTGAATCTGAAATGAACTGGCATTGTATAATGAACAGTAATCTAAATGTAAAAGACACTCTCTGACAACATTTGCCTGATACTACAAATGCAGTGTCCTAGCAAGATCATCTTTTCTAGCTGTTCTCCTTCTCCTACCCCCTTATGAAAAAAAGGTGGAGTCCGATTATGGAAAATTTAACCTAAGTAGTCACACTTCATCCAGCAAATTAATATGCATGATATTCTGTGTGGCATCTGTAGGTTAAGACATTTTTAAAAGGAATCTGTTTTCTCTCCAACAAATTTTACGGTATACACCCTATTGTATTTATTCTATTTTTTTCTAGTACCAGGGTGTTTTACAAAAGTTCCGTTTTGGAGCACGACCCTTCTGAACTCATGGAAAGCTGCTGGCCTCTAGAGTCTCCACAAAACCCTCAACAATGCACTCTCCTTTAAATTATAAATCATGCCTTCCTTCAGCAAGGATAGATGGGAAAATATGATCACCTCAAATCATTAACGGACTTTTCTCTTCCCCCAGTTCTGCTACACTTTTACTTGGGCAAGCAGCATCTGAAAACACCTTGCTTCACAGATCCCAATGTTTTTGATGGATTATGGTAACTAAATGCCAAATAAAATCAGTTTACCTTAGGAAACCTGTTTGGCTTAGCAGTATGCTCATGGCAGTGAAGGATCTTGATCACCTGGGCTGCCATTGAAGTTGGTGAGCATTTTGAGACTGACTGGATGAAAGCAATTTCAGGCCCAGATCCAGTAGCTGGATTAGATGCAATTGTTGTTCAGACTTTTCTGATTTACTATGAATAAGCAAATGCCCTCCATTCACTTGCACTTCAAATTTAAGGAATGAGCGGCACTGTTCTCTGACTCCCAGAACAGACCGTAACGATTCTTACAGCTCCACTGGGAGAAAGGCAGCTGAGGCACAGCCGAGACTGCTGCAACCGAAAACCCCTTTAAGAAAAGGTAGTAAAAATGTCCTGCCATACCAACAGCACTTGCCAGATGGTGTAAAAAGTCCTAGAGAAGTGTAAAG